ATACATGCCCGATTGACCCCGATTTTTTAAGTAATTACTCTAATAAGCGATTAGTGATCTATAATTGGAATCCTGAACGATAAAAATTCGTCTTGCCAAGACGAATTTGTTTAAAATTTTAAAAAACTCAATGATTATAAGGTTTCAATTAAAAAATTAATCATATAAAATTATTTTTATGATTTATATTCCATCAAAAAATAGGTTGCTAGTATTTAGTGCTTAATTAACATTTAACCATAATTTTGTGCCTGCAAATTTCTGGCCAAAATATGTAAATGGAAAAACATTATTTTTAAAAGAAAGAAAATTATTGTAGCCCTTTTTTCTTCCTTAATTTCCACTTTTATTCAAGAAGGATTTTGTCATTATCATTTACACGTTTTAAGTAAAGTTTTCGATATTTTTAACAACCTGTGATATTAACAATATGTAATACCATTGGTTTTAAAAAATATTTATGATAATTAATCTTATATATATACATTTTTTGGAGTGGCTCAGAGGTTAGATATATTACTTGACTGAGATGCGGCAGCATCGATCTAGTTGGTTTTTAAAACGGGGACGCTTGAAACGAATCATCTTCCTTAAGTAAAATTTAAATTTAGGTAGCAGTGATACGAGTTGGGGCTGGGTAGTATATATATTAAAAATGGGTGTTAAAGGTACTGCATTTTAATAAAAGATAGGGGTGGTTACTAAATTTCTATGTTAGTATTTATTTCTATACTAACTTTTTCAAATAATTTATTTTTTTATAGATGAATTCTTTAGTACCATATTCTTATATATTCAGAATAAAGATGTTAAAATGTAATTGTAAATAATCCTTCATTTCTATTATCACATTGTAATCTCCTATTTAAAATGGAAGAAATATACTTTTTTACCTGATTTTAAAAATTGGATATAGAACCCTATAATACTCAATCAGCCCAAGATATTATATTACCTTAAATTAATAACCAAATAAAGTCCATGTCTCTCTTTTTTTTTCTTTCCTATAACATAAGTTTGCTCCTCAATAATAAAAATTGGGAGGGCAAGAAAAAATATAATTGCAATGGTATTATTTATCATTTTAATCTCATTTTTATGTTTAAATAAAGTTTTTATAGCACCTTTTTAGAGTAAAGGTAAAGTTCGTTTTAACAAAATTTGAATGCTTTATATCTTTTGTTGTTTTTTTGAAAAAAATTTAGTTATATTCATCAGGTTTACTACTATTAACATTATATTGAGATAGATCCATAAAATTTTTGATTTAAAAGAAATGCGATCCCTTTGCTGACTAATCTCAAAAAAATTAAAATAGTAGGCAAGACCGATTTTCAGCCATTTTGCAATAAAATATTGGGTTCGCTTTAATTAATAGATAAAAATCTATAGGGAAAAAATTGATATAAATTAAAATTGCTTCAAAATTTTATGACAAAAATGTCTGAAATTTATAGGGTAGATGCGATGCTCATGCTAAAATATAATTCAGGTAAAATAAGGTCTTCAAAAACTTTAAAAAATGTATTATATAAAGGATTTAAATTATTTTAAGGATTTCTTATTACCTTAAACATTAAATTCTCAAATATATTAATGTGTTATGTATATTCAAGTTTTATGTATATATTTTGGAGGAGGAATGCTTTACTATTATATTTTAAAAAGGCCGCTGATCACTTGTAATAACAAGTTAAATATTAAATTTAAGGGTTAAAAATTTAGGCATTTAAAATCTTGAGTGTAATGGCATTTTATCAGAGTTGTTAAAGTAATGCGCTATTTTCTTTAATAATGGTAGCTAGTGTTGTTAAAAAGTCGAATTCGCCGGACTCCGACTCAGAGTCTGTAGTTGTTAGAGTCGACTAACTCAAGTCGTGAACTCAAATCGACTTAGTGAATTCAAGTCGACTCAAGTAGCGCGATATTTTAAAAAAAATAGCGATAGGTTTTTTAGAGAGTAGGTAAGAAGCGCGTTACTTCGCTGTATTAAAATGCTATATATACTGTAAAAAAAAGACTAAGATTTATTTAAAATTTCATAATACTTCTAAGATTAATATTATAATCTTTAAAATTTAATTTTGAAACTTATATTTAAAATATGCTTTAATTAAATCCAATTTTTATCATATAATTAAAAAATGTTGTCAATATAGATAGTGAATGAAGCAAATCTTGAGATGGATGATAACCATAAAATTTTACTAGGAAATGATATTCTGGAATTATCTTAGCCCATATTTGCAAAATAATTTGAACTAAAAAAATTAATACAGGATTTAAATTTAGATGCATTAAATATTGGAGGAGAGTATCGTTCAATAAATCAAGCAGCTTCAAACTAAAAAATATCTGAAGATATTATTCGTAAAAATAAAATAATTATCTACGTTTTAAATTTAAAATGTCTACACATAAAATTTTAGAGAGTTGTAACTCTAGATAATTTTGATGTATACTACTACAATAAATCAAATTAATCCAAACTAAATTGATTAATCCTGCACCATCAGAACTAAGTATTTCTCAAATTAGGTAATAAAGTCATAATTAATCTTATAACTGATAGAGTTCAGCCAATTTCCTTGGTGGATAATCCCTCATTTATCAGTCTGGTTAAACTATCACTTCGTGCCAGGATATCCTGCTGGCAGAAATGATTGCAAGAATTAGGAATAATCTTCAAGAAAGTCTTCAATATTAGATCTGTCAGATGTCTCATATATGCAACGAGATTATTGGGACCTATAATAAAATAAAGTCTATGTTCTGATCTTATACTAATATTGTACTCAACGAAGATACATTAATTATAATCTTGGCGCATTTCAAATTTAAAAATACTCAAATGAACATTTGAAAGTTTTTCTTATATAAAAAGTTTAGAAAATTAAGTACTACATTGTCCTAGTGGGAAACTATTGAGCACTTATTAAGTAAGACAAAGCTTATAATTTCTGATCACCCCAGAGATAATTATATAATTATCATAAGATTTATATTTATATAAATTTTTTATACATGTTTGAAATTAAAATGTAATTTTATGGACATATGCAAGATATATAAAAAAAATTAATTTTTAAAAAAAAATAAAATAGCGTAAAAAGTAGCTAGTAGCACGCTACTTTTTTTGGCCAAATAGCTTTATCGATGGCATACTTTTAAAATAGCGTTTAACAACACTGCATTTAACCCAGGGGATGGGGTAAGATTATCTTATACAAAATTTTAACTAGGAACTACACTATTATTGGTAAGAAATTCTAACTTTTAAAAAAAATTTCTAGTTTAATGATTAGGTTATCCAATAATATTATTTTAAGACCGTATATATATAATTCATTGCAAAAGGCAAAATACCATTTCTTTAAGCTATAACCACGAATCGCGCCAATATCAAATATAAATTCACCTTAAGGATAATTAACACATATCATGGCCATAAGTGTTGATATATAAATTAAATTGTATAATTTACTTTTTGTTAAGCACGTTTAAAGAAGGGGTCTAGAAGATATAAACTATCGACCTCAGAATTTTATAAATATAATTACTACGAAATATGAAAGATTAAGAGATTTTTCCAAATTGCATAAATAATTTCTTAAAAGTATTAAGTTTTATAATAATGCTCAGGTTCACAAAAACATGATAATATTGTTTTGCAATGCAATTATTTTGCCTTTAACTCTTTTTAATATTATAAAATAAAATAAATTACGATAAAAGGTTTCTTTAAAAAGTAGTAATGTGAAATAATGATAAGAGATAGTTTTCAAAGATTAATTTATCTAATTTTCATCTTTTATAAAAAAAATCTTTTAAAACAATTTATATAAAAGTATAATTTATTAAAAAAATTTGATAAAAAGTAAAAGCAAAAATAAATTCTTAAATTCTTTCATTTCATTATTATATTAACTTTGAAATATAAAAACTTTTTATTTTTGTCAGATTTTTTAAATATTATTTTTAAAAAAATTTTCACCATCATAAATTTAATATTACCTCTCTGATATAAATTTTAGAATTTTTTTAAATACTATTTTAAAAATTGTTTCACCTCGAAGATAATTCTGAGCTATGCGCTTGAATAATATTTTTCCTTAAAATTAAGATAGACATATAATATATACCTCCTAATTAAAAAGACACAAAATTTTAGGATTGTTTGTCAAAATCAAAATTGTATAATAAGATAGCGACTTTTGATATTCTGACTAACAAAAATTATTCCTACGTACACTATAAATATATAAAAGTTAAAATTTTTTATATTATCTAATACCAAACAACGGGCTATATTTAAAGGGTAAAATTTTTTTTATGAATCACCACGATATTTGATCCTTATTATCTACCATCATATTTCATTTCAATTAATAAGAATAATAAATGTATCTTCTTTTCATCTTTGATATAAATATACAATATACATTTAAGGGTTTCACAGTATCATTTTCAAAACTATCCATGTAAAAAAAAATTTACTATAAAATAAACCAAAAATATAAATAAAAAATCATCAATATTTGAATAATTAATTCACCAAAGGAAGGTGTGAATTGAATTTTTTTAAAACTTTAACTTAAACATTAGTCTGTTTAGCTAGGTATATAGCTTCCTCTAAACAGCTTAAAAACGAAAGAAGATATTTAGATTTACGTAAAGGATAACGCGTTTTTGTGAAGAAATATATAAATAACAAATAATATTTATTAAATGGTACAAATAAAATAAACCAAAATAGGGTTTCGTTTCTTAGTCCAAAATCTGTTAAGCCCATTTCAAAAAAAAAAGACGAACACATCCTTTCAATTTTTAGATGAAAACTTATTTTATATAAAAAAAATCTGGGTTTTAAATAAAAATAAATTTAATAAAAAATATAAGATATTGAAGATAGTCAAATAGGCTTGTACAAGTGGTATATTGACTCCTCATCAAGTTCAATGCATTTATTTTTTTTATTTATTCTTTTGTTTCTATTTTAGATAACAAGCCATGTCCTAACCTCAGTTAATGATTGTATTCCCACTATTTCTAGAGAGGTTAACCTAATATTGACTCTATTTTTTATTTATTCTTTTGTTTTTATTTTAGATCATGTTCATTGCATTTATATTCTTTATATTATTCTTTGTTTTTATTTTAGATATTTGTCAGGCCGCTCAATATGCCCTTTTATCTCTGATGAATATTTTGTCTAATTGAAAATTATATCAAAGTACATTTTTAAAATTTAACTAAATGAATATAACAATTTTTAAGGATCCTACTTTTTTAAAAGCTTACCATTTTGTCGGATCCACCATTGCTCTATTATCCCTGCTGATTATTTTGTATAACGCACAAAAAATATACATAGTATATTATTTTTATTATAAATAGTATTATATATTATTTTATATCTATTCCAAAAAATCTTCATTTTATTTCAATAATAATGTTTATTTATATTTTTGCCTGATTTTTTTATTTGTCTAGGCTAACCCAACCTTATTCCCTCACATTGCTACAAAACATGATGATTCTATTATTAAAGATAAGCAAAGAAAATAATGACGAATAAACAAACGCCTTACCCGTTCTAGAGTTACTGGTAGACAAAATAATAAAGAACTACGCTTGAAATGAACTCATCTGGAGGTTTTTTTTATCTTATGTTTTATATCTATGTTTATTTTATTTTTACCCAGTTCTCCAAATGATATTTCTATCACCACTACCACAATCCCTATGCCACCTCTGCCTAATTTTTAACAAATATAAGCATTTAATTCCACTATCATTCACCTCATTAGGAGTTATTATAAATAATACTTTATCCGATTCCCTGAGGAACTTTCATGAATATTTAGAGAGATGTTCAAACGTGAATGTGTAGTGCAGCCAATTTCATTAACATTATTGGGAAAATATGCGATAGTTTTGTCATGGCCTTTATAACAATACTTACGACCGTTTTATGGTTGAGTTGACAATGTCGTTCATGATTCTATTTTAGAGGGGTATACCAAAATTGACACTTTGGCAGAAATATCATTTCGCTTTCTTCTCCTCAGCTTTATCAGGATGCAATGGGTGTTGTACACTGCTTTGGTAATCCGTCATTATTCATTACTTTCACCTACAACCCTAAATAAGATGATATTATACATTATTTTTTTCTTCTGCAGACGACTGCCCAGATTTATTTTGTCGCTTTTTCCATCAAAAATTAAAATGTCATAAAGGATTTGCTCTTATTTTTACCAGACACACAGAGTAATAATTAATCCTCAGCATTTTTTAAAAAAAATACCTAAATTTATATGGCAAGAAAAACAAATTTCTTAAAAAATATATAAATAAATTGCATATAAGTTTCATTAGTATTGAATGGCATTTTTGTAATTTAAATAGATAGCATTTTTTTGTACTTAACAAAAGATATAGATAGCCCTTATCAAATTTTTTGATAAAAGGAGTTAACCCACTAATTGGTAAATCCGAGATTTCCCCTTCATGTGTTGATAAATTATTTAGAAATTTAACTACCTCCGGGTTTGGGAAATAGTTTTGAAACTTAATATGTGATGGACTGGGCTTGAAAAATATTCCTCAAGATTAATATTTGTTTGCACCTGACTTGGGAATATCTTATACAAATTATTATGGGCCGGGCTAGGAAAAAATTTTCAAAATTTTTATGGGTTGAGCTAGATTTGAGAATTTTTTTTATTAATTATAAGGTCTTGAACGCGTGGAAATTTTTTTCAAATATTATGAGCTTGGACCTGGCTTGAAATTTTTTAATGTTAAATGTTAGTCTTATGTAACCAGTAATATATTTACAAAGAATTTTGGTATTGGGTACAAGCTCATTTTAATATATTTTGACTCAAATAATAGTTTCCACTCTTAGTCCTAATGGGTTGGACTCAATGACATTGCTTGGACTTGACCTAAATGGGGAGGGGGGATTTAAAAATTATATAAATTGGATATGATTTTTAAATAAAAGGTAACATCTTTCTTAAAAAAACGAATAAAATTCTCATTCTCCGTCATTTTTGACGGGCTATCTACTAGTAGTCTATAATCCTCTATTATATACAGTTGTTTATAAAATATTAGATAAAATGCCACTTTTATAGACGTATTTGACAGTTATATAATATATTTCAGTTAATATTATCATAAATTATACTAATAAATGCTTTTAATAATAAATATAGTAATAATTTGCATTTAAGTATTTAATGCAATCTATTTAGTTTTAAATAATTTTAAAAATTAAACATTTTTTATTCATCCTACATTAGATGTTATAAATTTAATATATTTTCTTCTCTTAGGAAAGCTATTTTTTTCTTTTCCGAAAAACAGTTTTGAGTAAAATTTTTAATACAAGTATATTTTTGATATTATTACAAACTACTATTATTTTAAGATATAATATACCAACTAGAGGTGGTGCGACAATATATAAAATATTAATAGTTTCATTATATCCTTCTGGTCCTTATTTTATAGTTAGAAAATATTTTATTTATAATATGGCCCTTGCCATATAAATAACTCCAGGCTTCAATATATTTGCATAATTATTTCTACCAAAGATTTTTAGTGTTTTTATTTTATCCATTTATTCAACATAATAAATTCTGATGTTAGTTTACACTGTGAGTGTCATGGCGATTACTGCAAATTAACCAGTATCTATTATTTGTGTTGCTATGTAATTTAAGATTATTACTACAGCTGCTGAGAGCATATTTTAGATAAACAATTGTTGATTTAAGAGGTCAGAAGTTTGAGGTAGAAGGTAGTTGATCGGAAGAAGATTGAGGGAGCCAGAAGTTGGATGTAGGGGAATGTTGGTAAGAGGAAACTTGGTTATATGATGTGTATGAGGTCGCAACACTATATGGGAGTGCTGATTTTGGAGGCCAAAATTTAGAGGGTCGTTGAGGTTGGTATTGCAGAGAGAGTTGATAAGTTGATGGATTAGAATAGTCAGGAGGAGACATTGTTTTTAAATCAGTTGAAATATTATTTGATGAATGAGAAATTTTCTTTACATTATAGAATTTGATATAGTGGGATATCCAAATTTCTATTTGCTCTATGGGGTCTGTAATTGTTTTGGTATCATGCCTGAGTTTGAAATAATGCTCTTTCTTGAATGACGTAAAGGATTTCAATAATTTGAAAGCTTTATATAAATCAATTGTATTAAAAGAATTATTTATTTCTGTAGCCCGATCTTTGAGATACTTCCTCTTATCTCTTCGAAGTTTGTGGCTAATATCTTCGAGAATATACTTAGCTCTATTCTTCCTATAATGTCCTGTCCCCACAAGGTTTGTAATCAACTTTTTTGATTCAGTTGAGATTCAATCCGGGTAAATAACTTTAACGGAAAGGAATAATGAAAATATCTCGAGTATTTTCCTACAGTGTGTTGTAGGGTAAGGTGTCGACTGAGTCCTTTAAACTTACGAACTTTTCTCTAATTTGTTCTATATATTCCTCCTTTATATTTTGATCCTCTAAGGCCATGATATCTAACTTGGGACGTTTTCTATTTAACTTTCAATACTTTTTTTTCTCTAATACCAGATTTTAGGGTCTATATCATATAACAAATTCGGAGTTTGTGATCTGAATTGAACATAACTTGGTGAAGTACTTTAATATTTTTTATCCAACCGATCGGCCTAGAACAAATGAAATAGACAATTTGACACCATGTATTGTATGATTGGCTATAATATGTATATATTTCTTTATCATCAGAGTGTTCAAAAAAGGTATTCGTGACCAGGGTTGCCATGTCTCTCCCCATCAGTGGGAGACTCCCCCAATTTTTTAGTTTACACGCAGACATCTCTCCCGCAAAACTACCGCAATTGGAAATCTACCGCAATTTTTTAATTTCTCCCGCAATTTTTTCTTATAGTATTTTAACGTTTTTAATATATAAATAATAATTTTGAGAGACATTAATTGATTATTTTTATATTTTTAAAATAAATTTGAAATATTTATTTGAAAAACATGTCTAGTTTGTAAATTTATTTCTATCCTGTTTTATTTTTATCCAATAATAAATCAACATCATTTCATTCATATAAGTCAGTACAGGGGAGTATATCAACATCGATTGCAATACAAATTCTCAAAAATAATAAATAATACAGTTGCAACTACATTTTCGGAAATCGTATACATCTATCATGTAGTTTAACATTCACAGAGCTATATCATCACAATGTGGGTCGAATCTTTTTCTTATGATATTTAACGATTTCAATATAAGTGCAAACCTTACTTGTGGTAGAACAAAAATGAGCAAGGCTATCACAAGTGTTTTAGTACCTGAATCCTAGAGGTCAATTCTAGACGATTTGAAAGATGGGCATCCATATGCAATTCTAACAGATGCACCTAATAAGGGAAATATTAAAACATTTCCCTTGATCCTTCGCTATTTCAACAAGATTAAGAACATTTCAATAAAACTGTTAAAATTTTTTCCTCGGATAGTGAAAAATACAACGATGTAGCTAGCCACATAATGGTAAATATAGCTGATTTAGGGTTATCAATGATTTGCATGTCAGCTTTCTGCGCTGATAATACCTCTGTAAATTTTGGCAAAAACCAAAGTTACCTAATTGAGGCAGCACAATAATGAATTAATACCAATTGGCTGTATATGACATATACTACATAATTCTTGCAAGAAGGCAATAAATGTAGTATCTATGGATGTCGAAATAATTGTGATGAAATGTTTTAACGAATTCATCAACTAAAAGAGTTATTGAATTAAAAGATTTGGTGAAGTGGTCTGACTTGGAATGGTGTGAGTTGTTGCGATATATACCTATCAGGTGGTTGTCATTAGTACCTGCCATCGATAGAATTTTAAAATTTTACGAACCATTAAAAAAATACTTCTTAAATAGATTTTAAAAGCTGTCCTAAAATTTTGAAAAATTTTTTCGAGTATGAAATGGCAGCATATTTGGGATTAGTTTCACATGTAGGAAATCTACTTCCTGCTGTTAATATTCAGTTACAATCAGAATATTCTTTATTAAAAAAGATTCACAAAATCATGCTACAGCTATGTTCATCTCTACAGTTAAAAATTGATAATAAATTTTATGGTGCAATTGCTAAAAATATTATATTCAAATGTTCAAATAATACTCTAATTAATACATTTTTAAATGAAGCAGATATTTTTATTAAGACAATTTTAGAATATTTACAATCAAAATTTGATTTTAATAACTCTATTTGCAAATGTATAAATATTATGATCTTGGAACAGAAACCATCAATTGGTTTTTATAATTTAATAAATATATTAAAAATACCGAAAGACATTGATGTCTTGTTTGAGGAAATAGTAATTCTCTCTATTTTTTATGATTCGCCAAAATACTTAAAGTTAGATGGTCTAAAAGCAGAGGATAAATGAGTAAAATTTTAGAATTTTTTCGTAATAACGATAAATCCCCATGATTGGGAAAAATATGCGAGTATGTCTTCTCCTTACCTCATTCTAATGCCTCATCCGA